TCTGTTCTTTAAGCCTTCCAGTGTGATACTTTGTTATGGCAACCCTAGCAAACTAATACATACCCTTGTACCCATAAATGAACAACAAGCTAAGTTTAGATTACCTGAATACTCTAATGGCTAATTTATGGCAAAGTTAGGACTAGAATACAGATTAAAAATGGTTGGCAACATAAAAACAGGAAAGTAGCAAGAACACCTGTAGCTATACAGTCCTAGAAATCACTGATAGTAATTGTAAAGGAAGAACAAATAAAGTACACTGATATATAGCAAGCAAATTTCTAAAGGCCAGACTCATGAGATACGCATGAAAGTAATGTCAAATATCTTAAAAGGACCACAGTTCAAAAAAGAAAACAAGGAAGCTTGTCTAAAAGTTCCAATTCTAGTCACACAGCTGAAAAAGCCAAAAGAAAAAAGGAAAGGTACCAAAGAAACTAAAGTGGCGGCATAGGGAGTTGTCTAATTTCGGTTTGAAAAGGGCACTTGTAGAAATAAAAGTAGTCCATCACCTAGTCAGAAAGACTAAAGGCAGTAGATGATGACAAATGCAAAATATTCTGGGGAAAACTTTCCTATATAAAGAATAAGCTTCAAGCTTTAAGATGATGACAGAATATAAATAAATGACAAAGTGGGCAGCACAGAGGACTCAACTTATTTACTTTGATCAAGAATAATTTTCAGGGCCGGCCCGGTGGCGCACTGGATAGGTGCGCCGCTTGGGAAGTGCGGCGGCGCTCCCGCCCGAGGGTTCGGATCCCACATACAGACCGGTTCCCGCTCACTGGCTGAGCGAGGCACGGGGGCGACGCCAAGGGTTGCGATCCCGTTGCCGGTCCCCGGTACGGTACGGGGGCGACACTGAGGGTTGCGATCCGTTGCCGGACACGGAAAAAGACAAAAGACAAAAGACAAAAAAAAAGAATAATTTTCACACTAGAGTTTTATTATCCTTATACAAAATAGGTAATGCTAATAAAAAATATATCTAGCGGGCCGAGCCCGTGGTGCACTTGGGAGAGTGCAGCGCTCCCGCGGTGGGTTCAGATCCTATATGGGGATGACCAGTGCGCTCACAGCGCTCACTGGCTGCATGCAGTGCAGCCGGTCTCAAAAAGGACAAAAAAAAAAAAAAATATATATATATATATATATATATATATATATA